TCCTCCTCCTCCTCCTCCTCCACCTCCTCCTCCTGCTCCTTCTCCTTCTCCTCCTCCTCATCCTCCTCCTCCTCCACCACCTCCCCCCCAGCCCTTTCTGGCCCGAGTCGGGTCTGCAGGGGTAGAAACATTGGGAAGGGCTTTTCTCTCCTGCGGGCCAAGCTTTGGCTTCTGGGTTTCCTGGGTGGCGTCCCCGGGGCTCCTTGACTATAAACGGTTACTGCGGCCTGGTTGGCGTTACATCCGTCACGGCGCCGCCATGTCGAGCCGCCTCGCTGCTGACCCCTGGCGCTGCAAGCAGTGCGTCACGAGGGACGGCACGCCGTGGGTCAACCGTGGCGATATCAAGGTGCGCTCCAAATGCAACCTACAGAAAAGAGTCTGCTACGGTGGCCCCAAAACGCCCACAGGGAGTCCTGCGACCATGCCCACGGGCTCACCTAAGGCATCTAAGGATCAGTCCGACACCGCCTCCATGGCCAAGCAGCTTGCCGACCTCCAGACCATGGTCAAGGCGCTTACGGCCGCCAAGTCGCCTCCTCCTTGGGCTGCTGCTGCTGCTGCTGCTGCTGCTGCTGCTGCTGCTGCTGGGGGGAGTGCTTCTGCCGCTGGAGCGGGCGTCGGGTTGGACAGTGGGCACCCCCATGGGGGCTCCGACTGGCAACAACGGAGGCACCGCTGACCCGTCAGAGAAACAGGTCAAGCGTGACCGCATCAAGATGATCAGTGAGCTCCTTCAGGTCTTCGATGGTTCCTCCGTGGCCTCTGACTTGGCGCAGGTCAAGTCCCTCACCGAAGAGAAGGAGCGTTTGGGCAAGGAGCTCGACGCCGAACGCCCCTTGGAGGACCAGGTCGCCTCCCTCACCACGAGGCTGCGGAACTCCCGTGCCAAGGCCAAGTGCCTACGCGAGGAGCACGTTCAGAAACAGCTGGTCATCGACGAGCTGGTTGCCAAGCAGGCGGTGCTCCAGGACCCCCTGTCCGAGGCAGACGCCGAAGGCGTGTGGCTGGAGTAGGAGGTCCAGCGTTTGGGCGCCGACCGAGCCCCTCCGCCCACGGCTGGAAAGCCAACGCTCCATGAGCTGCTGCCGAAGGTCTCGGTCAACGTCAAGCAGCTTGGCGAGTTGGCCGCGGAGCTCGGCCTGGACCCCAGCCTTCAGGCGCAGCTGGAGGCGGCGGCCAAAGTCTTCGGGATGCTCCATGAGCTTCCCCAGGCGAAGCCGCCGGCGGCACAGGTGCCCGCTGCTGCCCCTGCTCCCGCGACCCCCGCTGGAGATCGAGGAGCAGGGGCTCCTGCGACCCCCGTTCTCCCTGCGAACCAGGTGCAGGTTCTCGCTGAGAGAGCTGCCAGAGACGACATGGGTATCGGCACCGACCTCATGGAGTCCTCCGGGCTGCGGGAGGCGTTGGACGCGGCAGGACTCACGCAGCCTGACGATGCCACCGGCGCGGACATGCGGATGGCGCACAAGCGTGTCCTGGACTCTTTTACGCGCGCGGCTACGGAGCACAAGAGGAAGAAGAAGGCTCGGTCAGCCCCCTTCTGAGGACCACGCTTGCCAGCGCGACCACACGGATGGCACGTGCCATGCGCAGGCCATTAGATGCGAGCGCAGTGCGCCAGCCTGTTATGACGTGCTGTACGACCATCGAGCTGACAGGACGTCCCATGGGCGGAATGTCAGCTGTGGCCTCCCGCGCACTGACAGCACGTGCCATGTGCGGGCTGCCTGCTGGGTTTTTCCCGGCAGGAAGTACCATGCGCGGAATGCCAGTGGTTTCGCGGGGCGCCCACAGGACAGCATGTACCATGTACGCGCTGCTGCCGGGGTTGTTCCTGGTGTTATGGGTCCGCCTTTACTTGGCGAAGAGAACAGTACGTCTCCCACCAGAGGCAACTACTGCTCCAGCCCTTCGCCGTCGACCCGCGCGCCAGTCCACTCGTCCTCACCGTGTGTGGTGCGCCCGCGAGGATGGACCTTTTATGCTGCTCTGGTGCCTGCTCATGACCCAGTTCGAGGTGGGTTCTGCAGGGGCCCCCGACAGTGGTGGGATGACCACGTCGGTGGCTGACAATTCCGCGGGCTTGCTCCGCAACTGGCGGAAAGGACCGCCTCTGTACCGAGCGCGACATAGGCGCGCCTGGGGGTCGCGATCCTTGGCGCAGGGTCCCAGCGCGGCCGTGCCTGATGCTGGCGACGCGCGCCGTCAGGTGGCGGCCAAGCTGGTCACGGTGCACCCTGGATCTTACGGGCCACTGCTCAACTTCCTGTCGTAGTTCTTCGGGAAGGTAGTGATGGTCCAGGAGACGCGGGTGGTTGACCAGCGGCTCCGGGCTGTTCAATCTGTTGTGCGCGATGCAGGTTGGCACGGCCTCTGGGCCCCTGCCGAGGAGACGGGGGGAGTGTCCGCGGCGTCGTGCTCCAGTGGGGTCTGCGTGCTCGCGCCTACAAGCGTGATGGTCAACATGCCCCCCGAGGGTGATCGTCTCGTTTTTCCCCATCATGCTGTTGCAGCTCATGTCCACTGGGGTGTCCCTGGTGGTCTGATTGTCGTCAGCGTGCACGCGGTTCGGGGCGTCGGCGTCACTGGCGCCAACCTCTCGATCCCATGGGCGCTTGCGAAGCGCGCGGCGGCGTGGAACGCGCGCGGCCTTGACTGGATCATCGGGGGCGACTGGAACTTCGACGGCCAGAGCATCAACATCGGCGACTGGGCTGGGGTGTTTCACCTCCGCTGGGGTGTCCACCATCGACTACTTCTTGGTGGCCGGCAATCTCGCGCCCCGTGTCTCTCGCCAGCCTGAGGTGATACATGGATGTGGGAGCGTTCCCAGACCGCGCTACCCCGTGGGGCTGGAGCTGCGCGGGAAGGACGCGCCGACGTGGTGCCGCGTCCCCGATGGGCCTCGACCACTGCCTGCCGTGCCCCCTTGTCGCTGTGCTCGTTCCCCTTTCCCTTGGCGCGCGTTGGATGGCCCGTTTATGCGGGCGGCCTCTGCGCCGCATAGGGTCACTGGCACGGGCCGTGTCCCAGTCCAGGAGGTGGAGTGGCGGCAGCTGCGGTGGGGGCCACGTCGCAAGCGCCTGTGCCACGACACCGCAGTCTGGGCTTGGGCTACCGCGGCACGCTGGGCGACTCACCTTCGCGCCGAGCGCGATCGGGTCCAGCGGTTTTGTCACCGGTTGAATGCGTCGGCGACGTGTGCGCTTCCAGCTCCCAGGCAGCTGCAGAAGATTGCCAGTGCCTTCCACGACATCCGCTGCTTCCTGACCTCCGTCGTCGGGCAGGATAAAGTCCTCGCCAATATCGACCCCTGCTACCGTCAGTCCTTCCTGCGCGGGCTGGACGGGCTGATTGCGGAAGACTTGGATGACATGGTAGATGCCATCTTGGGCCGCGCGGAGGCCCTCACTGCCGCGGCTCGCGGCGCGTCGGAGAAAGCCCGGCGCAGCTGGGCTCCGGCGGCCATCGATGGGGGAGCGAAGGCTGCCCGTGCTGCATCAAAGGCCAGGGCGCAGCAATAACTTGTTGCCCCTGAGGCCGATGTCCAGCCATGCATCCTCGCGGGCCGCACCACGTGCGAGTGGGGGCGGATCTGGGCGACCCATGGGCTGGAAGTGCTGCCCCTACCCACGGATGCACATACTTTGGGCTGCCTATCTTGACCGTCCATGACCTTCGGCAGGCCATCCGGTCGATCTCTCTCGCCACCGCCTCGGGGCCCGCCGGCGTTCCACCGTGGGCGCTTGAGCATTTACCAGATGAGGCTCTCAGGAGGTTGGCTCAGGTGTTCGAGGTTTTTGAGCAGCACTTGCGGTTTCCCGATGACCGCCTGTATAGTGAGATGGTCCTTTTCCCTAAGCCAGATGGTTGCCACAGGCTGATTGTGCTTAGCCATGCTCGCATACGAGTTTGGTTGACAGCACGCCGATGCTTGCCGGCAGAGTGGCAACGACTGTGCAGCTGCGACGGGATGTGGGGTACTCGAGGCAGCCACACTTCCACGGCCTCGGCTTTCGCTCACAACCTGGAGCAAGAGATGGGAAGCCTCATAGGCGACCACACGTGCGCCATCCTCCTTGACATGGTGAAATGCTTTGACATCGTGAGCCCCCATGCGCTCATGCGGGAGGCACGGGTGCTGGGTTACCCGATACGCCTGCTATGGATGTTGCTGCAGCTCTACCAGCAGCCGCGGCGCATCAAGGCGTGCGGTAGCCTCTCGTTCTCTTTCGTCGCCTTTCAGGGGGTGCTGGCGGGGTGCACGCATGCCACCTACCTCCTATTTGCTGACGTTCCGTGCACTCCAGCGGGCCAACAGGGTGGCGCCGACCATCAAGCCACGCTCGCTGGTGGACGATATCGGCCTGCAGATGGCCCCCCCCGACCTCGGTGATGGTCTCCCCCGGCTGCTGCTGCGCAGTGCGATGGTGCTCACTGCAGAGGCCAGGGACCTCGGGCTTATTCTCCAACCTGTTAAGTCCTCGGTGGTGGCTGGGGCAGCGCAGGTCCGCCTCGTGGTGCGTAGAGTCCAGCGGCGGATGCCTCGGGCGGTGCCCCAAGTCCGACATATGCGCAACCTTGGCCATGAGCTGCATGGCCCTCGGGTGCTACGGAAGGTTGAACAGATGCGCGTGAAGGCCGTGCGGGAGCGCAAGCACCGACTCCTCATGGTGCGTCGCGCGGTAGGACGCAAGGCTTCCACCCCGTGGCGGACTGGGCTCATGCCGTCCGCGGGGCATGGGTCTGGAGCGTCGAGGTTGGCGGGCGCGCCCCTACGCGAGATGCGCAACTTGGCTGCGGGACTAACGGGCGCAGTGTTAAACGCCATGTGGGCGTCACGGCATACCTCCTTGCTCACCCGTCGGAGGAGTGCGGTCCCATCTATCATGCCACGCTGGACTTGGTCTTGAATTACGCCGCCTGGATTTGGGATGTGCGCGCGTCACCTAGCCGCCGTCGCAGGGCCTGGACAGCGCTCCATGAGCGGGCTGTCCCAAACAGTTGGGCCAATTCCAAAGGTCCCCTGGCCGCGACGTGGCCGGCGCTCAGGCGGCTAGTTTGGGACATGAAAGCGCCGCGCATCTTGCAGGACGACTTGGGCAGCCAGTATGACCTGCACCGCGCGTGCCTTGCTGACCTACGACCCTTCTTGCTGCAAGGCCAGGTATGCTGTCAAGGGTGTCCGCGCCGCAAGGCAGCTGGGGGCGTTGCAGGCGCGATGGTCTGACAACATACCCATGCCGATTCGCAGGGACATGAAGCTCGGCAGGCCCATGCGTCCCTGTCAGGCTTGCGGGATGGCCCTTGCGCCCGGTGAGTTCTGGGGCCATGTCTTCTTGGAATGTCCCGCGCTGCTGGCCAGCCCCCCCGAAGGGGAAATGCGACCCATGGAGCAGGAGCCGACGGACCATGTCCAAGGCCATGGACCATGTCCAAGGACCCCTGCAATACAGCAGGGTCTAGGCGACCTGCGCCATCAGGATCACGACCACCTCCAGAGTCGGGCCGGCCCGACCCCACCGTCCCACACCTGCGCCCAGCACCGCAGCACCACGGGGGCCCAGGACGACATCTTCCCTGGCGTCGGGCAAGGTGTCGACGATGAGGTCGACGTTGGGCCACCCGATCGGTACGACGGCCATCAGCAGGTAGTGCGGCCACACGCGCAGAGTGCTCTCTTCACGCCACCGGCTGCTTCGGAACGGAGTGACCTGTTGTCCCTTGCGGCGGCGGCTCCAGCCTCGGCGCCTGGTGCATCATGCCGTGGTATCTTCCACCTCCCCCAAGTGCTGGCTGAGGTTCGGAACCAACTTTTCCAATCGGGTCTGGGATCAGGCGCGCCGAATTTCGAGCAGCCCTACCTCGTCTTTGGCATGCCCGAGCCGCCTGCCTATCTGCCACGCGCAGACGCGCGGAGGCACGGTGTCAGGGAGGGGCTCGACGCGATCAGGGAGGGGCTCGACGCTTTCCCCGACCACCAGCGCTTCGGCACTGACTTGCTGGCGCTGGCCCAGGAGGGAGAGCGTTGGCGTCCCGAGCTCGAGCAGGGTCACGCCGGGCATGCTAGAGCGTGGCGGGGCATCTTAGTGGCCAGCCGCAGACGCACTCTGCGTGACCCCCCCCAAGTTCCGATGGGCTCCTGCGCGCAGGTCCTTGGAGGCGATCGTGGGCGCAGAGCCGCAGGAGTTGCGTGACTGGCTAGGCAACGGCTGGGCAGACTACTTCGCGCGCTGCGGTGCAGCCTCTCACGCGCTGGCGGGGTCGGTTGCCGAGGCGGCAACTGCTGCGCTGAGACAGCACCGCAAGGTCCTGCAGTTCATTTCGTTGGCGGCGCTGCAGGCCGTGGCTCGCCAACAACGGGAATGCGACGTGGAGGTCCCCAGGCCGCCTTGCGAGCAGGCCACGGCAATTGTGGCGGCACGTAGCACGGACCATGTCCTGGCTTACTGTGCCAGCCCCGGGCGGTCCCGATGTACCCAATGCGGAGTCACGGCCACAACTGGATCCTCCCCCAATTCGTTGCAAACTGGCTATCATCGTGTATGCCGGCCTTCGCGTGTTGCCAGTGCTCTCAACGCCGAGTACTTCCGCGCCTTCGGCGAGGGTTGGGTCCTCTGCAGCGACCAAAGGGCTGGCATGTCCATGGGCGCGGCCTTGGCGCTCGAAGGGAGCTCGCAGCCCTCGTCCCCCGCGGCCCTGGCGCCACCTGCCCTGGCCGAGGAGGTAGGGGGCGCCTTCGCCGCGCTTGGGCACGACTTGTTCAGGGGCAACGATGTCTACTGTTGCAGACGCTGCGGGTCCCACTGTGCTGCGGGCGATGTCCGCGCAGTGAGGAAGCTTGGCCCGAGGTGCGAAGGGCTCTCTCCCAACGAGTCCACGCGCCCCAACCAGTTAGATGCGATCCGGCCCGTCGAGAAGGGACTTGCGCCTCGTGCCCGCCGCACCCCAGTGGCGCTGCTCCCGCAGGGTGGCCCCTCTCGCAGCCACGCGGCGCGATGATCGACCATGTCGTGATTCGCTGCCGTTCCTTGGCCGGCTGGTGGCACGGCGTTGTCTTCGGCTGCGACGTCTGCTTCGTCGGCGGCGTGTTGGTTGGCCTACGTCGACGCGCCCCTGGCCTTCTTCCTCTGCGAGTGGGTCCTCTTCCACACTTTCTTCGACCTTGCCCTCTCCGCCATCGCGGCGTGAGGGCGCCACGCTGTCGTTCGGCGGCCGTCGGCCGCGCGGGAGACGCGCGTGAGGCGCCGCGCCCCTCCTCCTCCCCTCCCCCCCTCCTCCTCCTCCTCCTCCTCCTCCTCGCCTCCTCCCCCTCCTCCTCCTCCTCCTCCTCCACCTCCTCCTCCTCCTCTCCTCCTCCTCCCATCCTCCTCCTCCTCACCTCCTCCGCCTCCTCCTCCTCCTCCACCTCCCCCTCTCCCTCCTCCTCCTCCTCATCCTTCTCCCCTTTTCCTTCTCCTCCTCCTCCTCCTCCTCCCCCTTTTCGTCCTCCTCCTCCTCCTCCTCCTCTTCCTCTCCCTCCTCCTCCTCTCCCAGCCGTCGCCGCCATCAAAGAGTAGGAATATTCAAAAATAGACAACGCAAATAGTCTGGGGACGATTTTTCAGGTTTGACGATTTGGAGTTATACTGAATTTGCCTGGGCTATATTTGATTTCTTGCATGTATGACAACACTTCACACGGTTTGGCTATTTGTTGATCGACGTTTTTTTTGGGCGTGCAACATCCGCCTGCAGGAAGACATGCCCGACCTGATCTGAAGGCGGGAATGTCCCTCTACAGGAGGACGGTTGAAACATAGACGAAACAAACAGTCTGGGGACGGTGTCCTGACTAATCTTCGGGGCAATGTTTGATCATGCGTTGATTTTTTCCAGAGTCCGCCTGTGGGAGAACGTGCCCGACCTAACACCAGTCAGGGGCAACGACATCGGGGCTGAGGCTACGGGTGTCAATGCAAACGAAGATCAGCCATAGCGCAAGATCTTGCAGGATCCTGCAGGGCCAGGGGTGCGCTGACCCGGGTTTGGGGTGCAGGATCTTACAGGATCCTGCAGGATCCTGCAGGGCCTGACTGACCTGGGTCTGAATTGACCCGAGTTAGTGGATCCCGGAAACGACAAGGGGGGATCGGCTCAAGTCGGGCATGTCCCTCTGCAGGAGGAATATTCAAGAATGTTAAAAAGTATGTTGGTGATATTTATATTATTTGTTTGGTTTCTCCCAGCGTTGCGCCTGAAGGAGGGCATGCCCGACCTAAGGATAGCCCCAGAGGGGGCCTCGATGTTTGGGGTTTTCAAGCGTTTTTTGTTAGCTCTCTGCGGTTTTCCGGCCTCGGGGTGCTTTCCAGCGGCTGCGCCTCGCCGAGAGCGTTCCGGGGGCGCCTGGATTGTCCCGAGCGGCCGCCGGAGAGCCGAGTTATAGCCGGAAAGCCAGGCGATGAGGCGACGAAAATCATTGTGGGGATGGGCACAGGGGGGGTCGCATCATCCCCCCCCAATCGCCCATAGATCGCCGATAGGGGCCCGATAACCCCAACCTGCCCAGGAAGGTGTGTATTCATCATCGGGGGCCTAACGCCGATCTATCGGCGATGTGTCGCGGATTCCGTGTGGATGTTTCTTTCTATGCCAGTTCCCCCCTATCGCTGCCCCTCAACCCGTGGCGTCGGAGCTCGTCGGCACGAGCCGACGGGTGAAAGCCTCCTGGGGCTCAGAGGCGCGCGGCCCCAGACATGCACTCGCGTCGTAAAACAGCAATGAGGGCAGGATGCTTTTCGCCGTGTTCGGCCCCATGAGGGTCCTCTGGGGCACGCGCACCCGTGGCGTCGGAGCCCCCTAATCAGGCCTCCCAGACGTTGTCAGAGCAGACGGGGTCGTAGGGGCGCTCCGCGTCGCCGATGCGTCGGCGATGTGGCGCGATGCTGATCCCGTTTCGCTTCACGTTGACGTCGCCGATGCGTCGCCGATGCAGCGGCGGTGCGGCGCAATCCTCCGACCCTCCTATTCCGACAACGAGCAGGAAGGGAAGGAGCTCCAGAGGAGGAGGAAGCTGAGGATTAGGAAGAGGATGAGTACTCAGGAGGAGGAGGAGGAGGAGGGGGAGGAGGAGGAGGAGGAGGTGGAGGAGGAGGTGGAGGAGGAGGAGGAGGAGGAGGAGGAGGAGGAGGAGGGGGGGAGGAGCAGGAGGAGCAGGAGGAGGAGGAGGAAGAGGAGGAGGAGGAGGAGGAGGAGACCTCTGAGCCCGTCGGCAAGAGCCGACCGGGTGAAAGCGCAGAGTCCTCTCGGGCTCGGAGGCGCGCGGCCCCAGCCATGCTCGCGTCAGACAGACAGACAGACAGGCAGGCAGACAGCCAGGCTCTTAACAGCACATTGGCAAAGCAATGCAATAAAACACAAATGTTCACACAGGATTGGCGCGCACGTCACACTGAGGCGCGTCGTAGAGCGAAACTCTGGACGGGAGGCTTTTCGCCACTTTTCCGTCCCTGGGGGCCTCGGTGGGTCTCGGGAGCGTCAAGCAATGGCTGAGGATGAAGAGCGGGCGAATCCAGCGGTGGCGACGAGGGCCTCCCAGGAGGCCCCACTGGGGGAAAACGAGGGCAGGGCAGCGGCATGGCCGCCTCTGAGGGTGCTCGTGCGCGAGCGCGAAGGTGTACAAGTACGGCGGCGTGAAGTGCGGCTCCGGTTTCGAGTTCTTCGGGCGCCCCCCCCTCTCTCGCCCTGGCCTTCGGTACCGCCGCCGCCGCCGCGCCGCCATCCACGAGAGGTAGGAGGGAGGAAGGGAGGGAGGGTCGAGGAAGAGGAGGAGGAGTAGGAGGAGGAGGAGGCGGAGGAGGAGAAGGAGGGGTGGCAGGAGGAGACGGCGGAGGAGGAGGAGGAGGACCAGGAGGAGGAGGAGGCGCAGGAGGAGGACTATTTCCTGGGCTATTTCCTGCTGCGCTAGGGGCCTTACGTGTAAGGGGCCCTGACGGGGGGTGCACGCTGGCCATACGGCCTGTCCGAGCTATAGGGCGTGCTGCACTAGAGGGGGTGGCCTGTAGTCGGGTGACGTCCGTCCCACAACCTTGACAGCCTCCCTCCGAGAGTCCTTAAACTCCCGGGCTTGCAACGCTGCTTGAGGGCCAGCCAACGCGTGGTTGCGTAGCAGGCGCAGCGTTTACAGAACACGTGAGAGGCACGGGTCACAATATGATGGCCCATGCTCCTTGCCTGATTTATGAGGGGGTCCCGCGGGTCACCATCCACTTCTTCGACCAGGAGAGGAAGGCTCCGAGGAGGAGGAGGTGGTGGTGGTGGGACCTCGTCAGGCGGACCGTCGGGCTCTGGGGGTGTCCGGGCCTTCTCCCTGGACGTGTCCTTAATTTCATGGGACTCCCCCCCGACACGAGCTGCGAATTCGAGAATGTCACTGACTAGCTTAAACTTCTCAATGTAAGCATTCCTTTGCCAATCAGCGTGCTGCAACATCTAAGCTCCAAGCTTGGCGTGCTTGTCTGCCGCCGTGTTTTCTACCCAAAGCCTGGCCCCCATCTCGGCGCGTTGTGCCCGAGTCGCGTGAGCCTTGACTTTGTTTACGGTGACCGTGGAAAGCCCGAGCCCCCCGAGCTCCCCGATCAAGTGCCAACACTTCTGCCACAGCCAAGACATTGCTATATCTGGCCTGTGACCCCACGCTACGCCTCTAGCGAAGCCCTCGACGACTGCCTGACAGTCTGAATATATCTCGAGCGGCACAACAGCTACAACCAGTACTTGATACACTGCCCAGAGCTCGGCCGCGAATATCGTTTGCTGCCATTGCTCGAGGGGAAGGGGCCCGAAAGTGGCGTGGTTAAAGGCCCCCGCCTCGTCCAGCGTGGCAAATGCCCACCCTGCTCGCTTGATGCCTTCGTAGGCTCCATAGAGCAGGGAACCGTCTACAAAAACCTCTCCAGTCACCCACCCGTCCCACTGGCCTTCGGTGGCGGCCTCGTGGGAGGGCGGGAGGTGGGGAAGGGAAAAGCTGGGGTCCTCGCAAGCCCCTCCCCCACAAATGCTCGTGGCCCGGCCAGGGATTCGCACCTCTCTGATGGATGTGGCGCCCCCCGACCCTGTTCCGAATTTCGGCACGCTTGGGGCAGCAGAAAGTGCGATGACGCTCCGTTCCCACCGCCCCGAAACAAGCCTGGCACAAATCGTTTTCACCGACTCCCTTGGCGAACAGACGGTCCTGGGTCCAAGAGCCCCCACAGAAGACCTGACGCACGCGAGTCTGATGCTCTTGGGTCCAGGACCTGGTGAGCCGGCGCCGCAAGAGGGCGCGCACTGGGGCGAGAAACGGACCACGGCCTGCCCCCAGCTCTTCGCCCCACCTGGCCAGCCAGGCCTGCAGGAGCTCTCGTTGGGTGGCAGCCTTGACCAGATGAAAGAGATCCCGCAGCGGGAACAGCCTCAGGTCGAGATCAGCTTGACCAGTGAATACCGACCGTGGCGAGCGCGAGCACCAGCCGATCCTCCGCAGCGTGACGATGAACGCAGCAGCAGGACCTGTTACGATTTGCCACGGGTGTTTGGCCCGTGCAACCTTGATGCTCCATCTTTTCCAGGCAGTGGTCAACCTCTCCTCCATGTTAGGGTCGTGGTCGATCTCTTGCCAGGCCCGAGCCCACTCCAGAATGGGGTCCGCCGTCGCCAGCACTCCTGGGTCGATGTCGTCTACCAGGAGCCCATGTGCGTGGAGCGCCCGGCGTGCGTGCCGGGCATCGCGGCGGCGACAGCATGCCTGAGGTTGGTCAGGCGGGCGTCGCTGATGCCCTGGACGCGCGCCCCGTACAGGATCGAAGGGACGGCGCCGTGCCGCAAGACCTTGTGGGCCGCTCCACCTGCTGCTTTGATTCGGCGGATGCGCTGGCTGCGCGCCGCCTGCTTGATGGTCCGCTTGACGACTGCTGTCACTCGCCGCCGCCGACCAGCGGCCGCCGTGACGCCGAGGTGCTTCTCGTGCCTCACCTGCTTGATGCCGTACTTGTCACAGACGCTCTTCAGGTCAGCCTCCGCCTCGGTGGTGGAAGACATGGTCACAGTCTTCCCCTCGGCGCCCCTCGAGACGGCCAGGTCGAGCTCGTCCTCCAGGGCGCCCACGACCTGTTTCACCGCCTCGGCGTGGTGGTGTCTGACGCGCAGGAGGAGGAGGAGGGGGAGGAGGAGGAGGAGGAGGAGGAGGAGGAGGATGAGGAGGAGGAGGAAGAGGAGGAAGAGGAGGGAGGAGGAGGAGGAGGAGGAGGAGGAGGAGGAGGAGGAGGAGGAGTGGGAGGAGGAACATCGAGGGTGATCTGTTTTTACCTGAGGGGGGAGGAAAGGGATGGGGGGGAAGAGTAGGAGTCATTTCCGAGGCAAGTTGGCCAGGCCGCGCGAGTCAGAGGGCGCTCGGCCCACTGCCACCTTCCTCCAACCCGCAGCATGAGAAGCACTTGTAGTGCCTCTTGATGTTGGGATTGTCCTCCTGCTCCCCCTCCTCCTCCGCCTTCGCTTCCTCCTCCTCTTTCTCCTCCTCTTTTCTCCCCTCCCCCCCTCCTGCCCCTCCTCCCCCTCCTCCTCCTCCTCTCCTCCTCCTCCTCCTCCTCCTCCTCCTCCTCCTCCTCTTCCTTGTTCTGACCTCCGGGCCTGGGGTCGGCTTGAGGAGGGATGGAAGAGAAGAGGGATGAGGTGAAGGATGATGACGAGGAGGCAGAAAGCAGGAGGAGGTGGAGGGGACGGAGGAGGAGGGGCACTACCAGGAAGAGGAGGAGGAGGAGGAGGAGGAGGGCGGAGGAGGAGGAGGAGGAGGAGGCGGAGGAGGGAGGAGGGGAGGAGGAGAGGAGGAGGAGGAGGAGGAGGAGGAGGCGGAGGGGGATGGGGGAGGCGGAGGCGGAGGCGGAGGGGGAGGGGAGGGGAAGGGGGAGTGGGAGGAGCAGGAGGAGGGGAGGAGGAGGAGGAGGAGGAGGAGGAGGAGGAGGAGGAGGAGGCAGATCGGGGGTTAGGGTTTTTCTTGAGGATGGAGGAAGGGAGGGGGGGAGGAGAATAAGGAGTCATTCCCGAGGCAAGGTGGCAAGGCCGCGCGAGTCAGAGGGCGCTCCGCCCACTGCCACCCTCCATCCCGCAGCATGAGAAGCAGGTGCAGCGCAGCTTGATGTTAGGATTATCCTCCTCCTTCTCCTCCTCCTCTTCTCCCTACTCCTTTTCCTCCTCCATCTCCTTATTTTCCTTCTCCTCCTCCTCTCCCTCCTCCTCTGCTCCTTCTTCTCCTCCTCCTCCTTCTCCTCCTCCTCCTCCTCCTCCTCTCCTCCTCATCCTTTTCTTCTCATCCTCCTCCTCCTCCTCCTCCTCCTCTTCTCCTCCTCCTCTCCCTCCTCCTCCTCCTCCTCCCCCCCTCGTTGCCACCTTGCAAGCGGAAGGCACTCGCGGGCGGTCCCGCTTCCAACCACCCCTGGCGAAGAGCAACTATACGCGGGCCGCGCTGGGGCGGGAGCGACAAACAATTTCCGATGGGCGTGGCGAAGACGAACCATGCGCCGCGCTGACACGCAACATTGCCACTGTCACACGCGCACTCACAAACTGCGCGGCTGGCAGAGGCCCAGAGTGGAATTCTGTAGTAACATGGAAAAGGGGGGAGAGGAAGAGGAGGAGGAGGAGGAGGAGGAGGAGGAGGAGGAGGAGGAGGAGAAGGAGGAGGAGGAGGAGGAGGAGGAAGAAGAGGAGGCGGAGGACGAGGACGAGGAGGAGGAGGAGGATGAGGAGGAGGAGGAAAATGGGGCAGACTAGCAGGAGGAGGAGGCGGAGGAGGAGGAGGAGGAGGAAGGAGCCAACGCGCCCCGAAGCCTTGATCCACCGTCCAGCCCCAGCTTCAAGGGATCGGCTCAAAGACGTCAGCCTAGCGAGTAGCCCCATCCACATGCAGCTGCGATTCGCGCGAGGCGCGTCCTGAGGCCCTCAGTGGAGCCCCATATGGGGCCACGACGGTCGAGGATCACACAACGGCATAACCATAAGCTTTCGACGGTCCGCGCGGATTTCTCGGATCGGCGGTGGGCCCTCCGTAGCGGCGCCTCCTGCGCCGCCGCTGGCGAACTCAGGGCGCGAGGGAGGGGGGTCCAGCGCGGATCCAAGAGCATCCGCGCGGACCGTCGGAAGTTTATGTTTATGCCGTTTCTTCTTCCTCTAACGAAGGGTGCGAGGGGTGTGCTGAAATGGGTTGGGCGGCGCCATGCGATCCCTGCCACTGGGTCTTTCGGTAAAGTTTCTGATGGGGCCACGACGCGTGCGAGGGATGTGCCGAACGGGGCGGGGCGGCGCCATGCGAACCTTGTCACTGGGTCCTTCGGTGGAGCTTCTGATGGGGCCACGGAGCGTGTGAGGGGTGTGCCGAAATGGACATGCGGAGGGCAGATGCAGGGATGGGATGTGGGAGGAGGGGGCGGGAGGGAATGAGCGAGTGACTGAGTGAGTGAGATGTGACGCGGGGCGCTACGCATTCAAAACGAGGACCCAACGACACAGGATGGTTGGGAACAGCTTTTCGTGATGATAAGGGTCCCGGGGGCCCACGTCACAAACAACTACGACGTCGAAGCAGAGTGTCCCTCCTTCTCGTCTGTCACTGGGGCATTTGTGATACCCGACATCTCATGAGGGTGTGTGGGGGGGAAGGAGGGCGGGGATGGCTGAAACTGGTGCGGCTGGCTGAGGCTGCGGCGGCTAGTCCCCCGCAGGGCATGGCGGCACGCCCAAGTGCTGTCGGCACAGGTCCTGGACAGCAGTACGCGCTTCGTGGGTCTACAGAGATCCTCGGGCAGCGCCTGCGGTTCCAGACGAGCCGTTCCGCCGCGTCGGACTGCCTCCTCGTCCTCAGCTCCTCCTTTCCGTCCTCCACCGATGACCACGACCACGACCACGATCACAGCCAGGACGGCCATGACCACAATCTCAACCGAGCACGACCGACTACCGACTACGACCACGAGGACCACGACGATACTGGCGACCACGCCGACAACGACCACGGCGAGACAAACACCGCAGCCACAGCGATCACGGCGACGACCACCAGAATGACGACGCTTACAACGGCGACGATGCCCACGGCCACGCCCACGACGGCGACCACGCCAACTACAATGAGCATGGACCACGACGACGACGACCACGACGAACACGACCACGCGACGCCCACGATGACAAAGGACGGAGACGACGGCCACGACGATCACGACGCCCATGTCCCCGACGAAGTCGACCACGGTTTACCACGACGACGACGACGGCCGCGTCGACCACCTCGACGACGACGACGACTACGACCGCGATCTCAGCGTCCGAGGCGACGGCCACGGCGGGGTCGGCGGAGTCGGCGGCGGCCGCTCCGACGCCTCACTCCGCGCCCCGCCGCACAGCTACGCGCACGGCTCCGGGGCGCACCGCGAGCCCGGCACGGACGGGATGTACAACGACCAGGAGCTCTGCAGAGACATCCCAGGACCCTGCCTTGGGGGAACGGACAATGACCTAAGTCAGAGGGCGAAACCCCGCTCCCACCCCCAGTCCCGACGCCCATCCCCGAGCCGGCGATTCAAGGGGTCGGGACTGGGGGTGGGGGTCGGTTTTCTCCATCCCTGGACCCCGGAAACCCACCCCCACTCCCAGTCGCGACTCCTTGAATCGCGGGTTCGGGGATGGGGTCGGGACTGGGGGTGGGGGTGGGTTTTCGCCTTCTCACCAAATATAACAACTGATGGGCCTGTTTTACACCACCACCATAAGTTTGAGGGGGAGGGGGAGGAGGAGGAGGAGGAGGAGGAGGAGGAGGAGGAGGAGGAGGAGGAGGACCCCCTCCCCCTCAAACTTATGTTGGTGGTGGTGGAAAATAGGTCAATAAAAAACGCGGAGATCCGCGCGGATTTCTCGGACCCGCGCTGGGGACCCCTGGCGGCGCCTCCGGCCCTGCCCCTGGCGCGGATCCAAGAAGTCCGCGCGGACCTCCGAGTTCTTGTGTCTATGCCATGTTTCGTTTCCCTATGCCTGGCCCCGTCGTCGGGGATCGAGGATCCAGGGATCGAGCGATCCAGGCTTGATGACGGAGGATCGAGGGCGGAGATGCGAGGTTCGGGGCTCGAGGTTCGAGGATCGAGGCTGGAGGATCTAGGTTCTGTGGGGCGTCTTTGTCCTTTGCTGGGCCTCCGATCCTCGTAGTTCGGGTCGCAGCACATCGCAGGAGAGGTCTGGGGGTCGGCTCTCGATTTCCTCGGTACTGCTCGGACGTGCGCATTTTTTCTCGGCGAGGACCATCGAGGAGCATCTTGGATCATCTTGCGGAAAAGTAGCACAGGAAGCCGAGAAGTGCACGGTGAATGGACGTCCGAGCGATGGCAGGTTTCCGGACCCAGCCTTTTCTGGTTGTGAACGACCAAGACGGAATCGCTTGACAAGTTCCCGTGTTACCTATGAAGGAGTATCTTCGAAACGCGAGCAAGACGAGAATGGGAGGAGAAAGGTGAAGAGCAGGACAATGCAAACATGTGCATACGGCGGCGACAGCGAAGAGGAGGAGGAGGGGGAGGAGGAGGAGAATCAGGAGAAGGAGGAGGAGGAGGGTAGGGAGGAAGAGCAGGAACGTAAGATCGTCGACGACGATGGCGATGCGAGGAATAAAAATCGACGAGGGAGGAAGAAAACTGATAATGGTGATGGCAGAAGCAGGGGCGAGCAGGATGACGCAACTGAGGACGAGGAGGAGGAGGAGGACGAGGAGGAGGAGGAGCAAAAAGAGGCGCTCCTTCGCTCGTTCCTTCTTCTCTCATCCTCTTGATTTCTTGCCCGTCCCACCCGGTACTGCCGGTTGGGAGGGATTTCAGGCATCGGGTGTTCCCAGCGAGCTTGCCTTCAGCATCGAGCATCGGGGAGCCGCCCCTCGTATGCGTCCGTGTCAGTTGTCCTGTTTCCAGTATGTTGTTTCTTCTCAGACGGGTTCCGCAGTTGCACAAGCAAGCGCTCAGGAAAGGAGGAGGCGCGCCACGCAGCGCGCCGAAGGACCGCGCACTGCCGGGGCGGCTCTCCAGCGCGCGGTGCCAGAACTGCCGCCGCGGAAGCCCCCAGAGAGCCTGGAGTCGGAAGCTGGAGCACATACATTACCAGTGGCGGGCTGTTTTTCAATCCGATGATTTGTTTTTGAAGGTCGGGGGCGACGTCGGGGTGGTTGGTTGTATACTTTTTCCCGTGCCCCAGGGGAAACTACGAAACATGCATACACCAGGGTCCCGCATATACCTGGATCCGTTTTCCTGTGCAGTTGTCAGTGTCGGGCCGGAAAAAGCATCGGTGCACGGTAGGTTCGTGTCGTGTCGACCGGCGGCGACCCCGCCAGCGGCGTTCATATTTGAACGCCGCGGGCGACCCAGAATCGTTCGAGGTGGAACGATTTGGACGTTCTGGAAACGGCCAATCGTTCGAGGTTGAGCGATCCCCGCGGTGTCAGAGACCAACGCCGAAGTCGGCACGACACGAACCTGACGGATAGAGTTTGTTTCCCAACAGTCAATGAAGAAAACAACACGTAAACATAATTTTCGGCGCTTCGCGCGGATTTCTTGGAACCGCGCCTGGGCCCCCTGGCAGCGCCTCTGGCAGCGCCCCTGGCGCGCTCCGCACGCCAAACAAGTATGTTTATGTTGTTTCTCTTCTATACAGAGGGTTCGGGCATGCTTCCGTCGCGGCTCCTGGCATCGCTCGGACGTGTGCATTTTGTCCTTCGGCGGGGACCATCGAGGAGCATCCTTGATCATTTCGCGAAAAAACCACACACGAAACAACAAAAAAACACAGGAAATGGACGTCCGAGCGATGGCCAGGGCTCGGGAGTGGTCGGGGCGTCACTCGGGCGGGCGAGGCTCGGGCGCTGCTGCGGCACCGAGCAGGCGTCAGGCGGGGCCCGGTCCTTGGCCCGGCTCCAGGCGGGGGTGGGCGCGTGCGAGCCTGGAGGTCCCGAGTGGGAGGAGGGAGGAGGGAGGAGGGAGGAGGGAGGAGGGAGGAGGGAGGAGGGAGGAGTGGGAGGAGGGAGGCTTTTTTGACTGCACTGAGCTCGTTGCAAGTAGCTTGAGCGCTAAGGCCAACAGGACTGGCACAGGCTGCACACGAGAAACCCGAAAACATGGACGCTGAGCTGCTTCCGCTCTCGTCCCGAGTGGGAGGAGGGAGGAGGGAGGAGGGAGGAGAAGACGACGACGACGACGACGACGACGACGACGACGACGACGACCACGACGACGACCACGACCACGACAACGACCACGACCACGACCACGACCACGACCACGACCCTGGATTGGTGTCGCTCGGAATGGGCTCGCGAATGGGCACGCCCACTGCCAGTGGCCCATATCTCAGAGGAGGAAAAGGTACCCACACTGCTGCCCCTCCTGGTTTCCCCCTTTTTGGGCCTCCTGGGAGGCCCTCGTCGCCACCGCTGGATTCGCCTCGAAATCGTGGTTAGAACGCACCCTAGGAGAGGTCCCAGGAGTAGCGGTATCGGTGCCTCTTGTTTTCCCCAAAGTCGAGGATGAGGGGGGTGGCTGCAAATAATGTCTCAGGAGGGGACAAAAACACACAGACACAATTAATCGTCGATATCCAGGAAAATATGAGAAAATATGGGAAGTGTGGGGGGGAGACAAAAAAACAGAAAATATGGGAAACTATGGGGAATCATGTTATTTGTGTCTATTTATTTGTGTGTTCCAGGGCCCCTTCAATGACGATTGCCGCCCCCCCCTCATTTTCGATGTAGGGCGATGTTCGGGCATTGTTCGGGAGCGGTTCGAGCTCCATGCGGGCGCTGTTCGGGCGCTGTTCGAGCGCTCCCCGCGCGTGCCTGTGGTGCGGGTGCTGCTCTGTTCGATCGCGCCTGGATCTTGTTTTTCGCTGTCGCCCCAGATCTGCTTAGAAAGCAAGTGCCGCGGCCATCCGAATTCAACTAGGATATTTCTGGTGATCTCAAGAAATCTCCAGTGGCCTCTGGAGGCATCAGGACTCAGAGCGCGATGGGGCGCCCCACATCATGCTCTTTCCATTCCCTCCCCCTCGTTGGCCCTCGATGGGCCCTCCGCTGCAGGTGGGCAGCATGCAAGAGAAGGGCGAGTGCGAGGGCAGGACCGTCCACGATCTGCTCGACTCGGTGATGGGTGCCGTGCTCTGCCTGCGCGTGGCAGCGATCGACTCGGCTCCTCACCGCTATGGCAGTGTGGCAGGAGCCTCCTGTGAGACCGCGCAGTTGGCTCCCTGGTCGCGAGGGGTCCGGGGGCCACACGGGCACGGCCCCAAGGGCAGGTCTCTTTCTCTACGGTCGTGGGCAGGTTCGGTCGATCCGCTCACGCAGGCGATCCGCTCGGTTCTGTGGTGAAGGCCAGCTTCTGTTTAATCACGGGAGGGCGAGCGGGCAGGAGAAGAGTCGCAGGCCTAGAGGTTGACACCAACACCAATATCGGCGGTGTGCCTCCACCGACGGAAGAGGATCCCGATCTCGGTGATGGTGGTAATATTCTGGCTTCAAGGTGACCGAACTGTTACCACCATCACCGAAATCTAGGATCATCTTCCCCCTGTGGAGGCAACCCCCTGTGTTGGTGTTGGTGCCCATTTCCAGGCCTCCAAAAGAGGGCGGAGGAGCGTGGAAGCACACACAGGGGCACCCGCGCAGGACACCCCGGCACGGCGACGTTCCTGTGGCAGCACCATAACTACTGCGTCAAGAAGGACGTGAAGGACCCGGCGTGTCAGTCGTGGCCGCGGGGGCGAGTCGGTGGATCTTCTGAGTGTTTCGGGCCGGACGAAGGGGGGGATTGGGAAAGGGGGGGGTACGAAATTTTCTGCATGCAGCTGGTTTCGGCCCCACAGAAGGGCCCATTCCTCGATACATAGCCGCCTCCGGCGCCGGGAGGCGCCGGGAAAATCAGCTACGTGAGCTGATTCTCAACCCCCCCCTTTGCTATCCCCCCCCTTCTGCCCGACCCGAGTGTTGGTGGAAGCGAGAGGCAGAGGAGGCGGAGGAGTAGTAGAAGAAGGCAGGACCAGGGGCAGGATGAGGCGGGTGAACAGGGATGACAGGGTGATGCTGACGAGGCGGCGTTGGAGCAGGAGTGGGCGAAGCAGGTGGAATGAGGGAAAGGCGATGAGGAGTAGAGCTGGGTATCATGGAGGTGAAGGATAGGAGGAGGAGGAGGAAGAGGAGGAGGAGGAGGAGGAGGAACGAGGGAGGAGGAAGGGGGAGGAGGGAGGAGGGACTGGGTGGACGGAGGAGGAAGGAGGCAGCAGCAGGTACGCTACGCACGGGCTCACCGCGATGATGTGAATACGCGGATGAGGTCGAAGGTTTGTTCGGCTGCGTGGGGGAGCTTGCACCCACGGCTTTGGGTGATGCAGCTGCGAGTTCTTGCTGGCCACTGCCAGCCTCTCAGGCTGCCCGCGCCTGCTGCCAAGGCCTGCCGGGCAGCC